TCCACAAAGAGACTGGACCATACACCGGCCCTAACCAGAATTAGCCCGACCCCCACCATGGAAGGGAGCACCACAGAAAATGAATATAGATCGTCTGGTGTGGGAAAGGAACTGACCTACCACACCACACCCAGAAGGAAGCTGGAGCAAAGGAAGGAGGAAGAATGGAGCGGAGCACACCTGGGCCCACCAAGCTCAGAGGACCATAGCCCAGCTCGGAGGGCGCAGTGTACAGAGGACCATATCGCCGGCCCCACGGCGAGATGCGACATCCTGCACTGACCCATGGCCCTGCACGGGACAGCACCGGAGACACGGTGTGGGATGTGCGCATGAGCTGACCCCACCACACCGAGGCAAAACGCTGGGGGCGTGCAATGGAGCAGCAGGGAAGCAGACAGAGCAAGGAGGTCCCGAGGGAATACAAACGATGGACGCTGGGGCCAGGAGGTGGCACCCCATTAGACTCGTCCGGAAAACGCTCCTAAAGGTCAACAAACAGACCTTGAACTACTAACAGGCTTTTTTTTTTTTCAGCCTATTTGTTTTGTTTTGTTTTTCCTTTTTTCTCTTCTTTTCAATTTTGTATGTCAGTGGCTTTTTGTTTGTTAGCTTGTCGGTGCTGCTGCCCTCGTCGCCGTGTTCTTATGTGCCACTTTGGTGCTGTGCTGTCAAAGCCATCCCCAATTTTATGCACATATTAATATATCTGCACGTCCACCTAGATGAGAGGCTGGACCAAAAAAAATGTGAGAAGAAAATAAAGGGACCAATGGCCCCAAACAAGACGGCTTTAAAGAAGGAAATGCCTTTTGAAAAACATGCTGTGTACACACTTTGTCACTTTGGCTCATGTGTCCAAGGACTGAAAGCCACCAAAAACCTTATTAATAAGCTAGTCCTCAGCTACAGGGTAAAGTCAAAGACTTGTTTTGAGAGAGTGAGAAAGGAGAAAAACCTCTTTTCCTGCAGCGAGTGAGAAATGGCGTTCCAGTGGCCTGGAGACGATGTGGGTCTTAGGGTGTCAGGTCCCTGGGTGGCAAGAGCAGTTTGTACTGGGGGTGGAGTTGGGCTGCTAAGCACAGAGTCAGAAGTTCGAAACCATCAGCTGCTCCCAGGTAGAAAGATGAGACTTTCTACTCCAATAAAGAGTTGCAGTCTTAAAACCAGCAAGGGCAGTTCGACCCGTCCTATTGAGTCGCTCTGAGTCCAAATTGCTTCGATGGCAATGAGTTTTGCAGCTTACTAACCTAAAGGTTGGTGGCTCATACCCTCCCAACTGCACTGCAGAAGAAGAGCCCTGGCCACCTGCTTCCTGAAAGATTATGGCCTAAAGAAATCCCCTGTGAAGCAGTTCTGCTCTGGAACATACGGGTCACCAGGAGACAGAATCAACTCAGTGGTAAAGGGCATTTTGGGGGGTCTAATGGTTAAATCAGGCCAAAAAAATACATTCATAGTGGATTTAGCGTGATCCTGTCCAGGGATTTGCCAGCAGCCCTATGGAGGTACGGGAAAGATACATGGTGTGTCTGTTTCTCTGGTGAGAAGACTTGCCCAGACACGAAATAACTCATCTAACCAGCTGCCACTTAAACTAACATGGTGGATGATCTGTGAAGCTCACAAATCTTGCTACCTACGGAGTGTCATTTCAACCACTCTCTGCCAACTGTTTCCACTGTCTTTTTCTTTTCATTTTGGGGGGTATTTTTGTCTTTTCAATTGTATTTGATGGGTGGTGGAGGGGGAGGCTGGGTGGGAACCTGAGCTCACTGCTCCTGAGATGGATGGGAAACGCCTGGATCAATAGCCAGCCCCTGAGAAACCCACGTCAGGTGTCACAGCTGCCTTCCGATTTCCACCCACTCTCCCCCGTCCTGAAAGATAGAGTTCGGGCTTGCTTTCCCTGTTCTTCGAGCCCGTTTTTCCCAGCCAACCACAGGCTCCCATTCCTTCCCCTGCAGAAAGCCCACACTCCCCACTTCCCAGGACCGTCCCGGATTGTGAGTTCTCCTGGGACGTCCACACCAGGCCATCTGGAACGGACCTCCAGAAAGCAGTGGTGCGAGCAGATTGCAGTCAGCCTCTAACCTAAAGATAGGGCGGTTCAAACCCAGCTCCAGCCTGTCCCTGGGAGAAAGGTCTGACTCCATAGAGAAGACAGCTAGAACCCCCGGGGGCAGTTCTCCTCTGTAACACGGGAGGCTGTCAGGAGGCAGAGCCAACTCCGTGCCTGTTGGTTTTTATAGTAGTGGGACTAATAGGAGCTCCTGGTAGTCTCAACAGTAAAGCACTTGACTGCTAACCAAAAGGTTGGTGGTTCAAACCCATCCAATGACACAAGAGAAAGCCCTGTTGGGAAGATCTGGGAGCTGCTTCGGTCCAGCTTACAACCAAGAAAATCCTACACAGGAGTTTGGCTCTGTCCCAAGGGGACATGTCCCATACCCCTGTGGGTTTCCCAGACTTTAACTCTATACGGGAGTAGATAAACCTCATCTTTCTCCGTCGGTGTGGCTGGTGGTTTTAAACTGCTGATCTTGTGATTAGCAATCCAACCACTATGCCACCAGGGATCCTTAATGGCAAGAGCCAAAAAACCAAACTGCCATTGAATCAAAGCCAACTCATCGTGACCCTGTAGGACAGGGTAGAACTGTCCTTGACCCTGTGAGTTTCCAAGACTGGAACTTTACAGGATTAGAAAGCCCGTCTTTCTCCCACAGGCAGCTGGTGGTTTCAAACTGGAGCGCACAAGTTGTAGCCCCAAGCTTAACCACTGCACCACCAGGACTCCTGAACAAGGGCCGGGGGACCTGCCTATCTTCCCAGGTCCTCCCCCTGGTAGGGGAGAGAGCTCTGGTAGACCAATTCAGCGGGGAGTAATGTAACTTCCTCTTTTCATCTTTTCCTTTGAAAAATCTCCCCTATAGCTCATCCAGTTACTACTGGAAGACAGGGACACCATAAGACTCAGCCTTCCCATGGGACAAGAAGTTCTCGTCACCCTCAGAGATGGACAAAAATGTGTGAGCCATGTATCAGAAGCACCCCAAAGCTCTGAAAACATTTATTTCTGGGAAAGCAATGATAACATATGAGATGATTATTTAGCGAGGCCATGAGAAAACATAGATTTTCATAGTTTAAAACCATAGCAAATTCTCCACTTGTGTCTCAATATGGGAGACGACTTTGTGTACATAATAGGTGTAGCATTTTCAACTATATATTTATGTATTTCAGAATGTTGGTTTTGATCCAACACATAAACTGATTTGGAGAATAATTTTTGCCTCGGTGGTGTTTGTTTTGGCATTTCCCCAATGTTTTCTGCGTTGGGGCTTCAGAGAACTTTTAAAAAATCCTTCTGTAGGTGAGATAGTTTATTGTGCCAGCCTGGCCGATAAACACAAGTGGGATTAACTGAAGGGCAGAGAGATAAATGGCTTGGTGAGCCTCGTCTTTCTTGTCTCTCGCTCTTTGATCATCAGACCAGTGTGCGGCTGCCTTGCTTGTTCTGTGCCTCAATTTAAAGGTTACACTACCTGTGGGATGCCTAGCCTGTGGACTGTGTCACTGTAAGCTGAGGTCCCTTTAAGACATCTCTGGAGCTGGGCACTGGCGGTTGGTGACCTGGCTGGCAGTTGGTGACCTGCCTTCTGATTGGCTGCTGTGCTGACATAGCCTAGCTCTCTCTATAAATAGAGGAAGATCTGGCAGCAGACTGGACTTGAAGGACTGCTAGTCTCTCACAACTCTCTCATGGGAGTGAGTTGCAGTGAGCCATTTGTAGTGCTTTATCATTTAATCATTCATTTCTTGTATTATATATTTATCTGTATATGATTTAACAGTTCATTTCTTGTTATATATCTAATTATCTTTATAAATAAATATATTATCAGCAATTTGGTTTTATCTCTCTAGAGAAGCCTGTCTAATACAGTGGGATTAAAAATAATGAACACATTTCCAGACAAAGAGAGCAAGGTTTGAAGAATGCAAACTGGCCCAACATTTCCCTTCGACTCAGCAGTGCCTCATTCAAAATGACGCACAGCAGTTTGAACCCACCAGCTACTCTTCAGGAGAAAGATAAGGCTTTCTACTCCTGTAGAGAGTTACAGTTTCGAAAACCCACAGGGGCAGTTCTACCCTGCCCTAGGGGGTCATTATGAATCAAAATCATCTCAGTGACAGTGCGTGAGTGAGTGGGTGAGTAGAATTTATAGAAAGACCCTCTCAGGCCAGGAGAACAGAAAGAACTCAAATACTACTTTTAGACATTCTTGGGGCTGTTCAGTAGCTTTGGTTCACCCTCTTAAAATGAGGTACTATTTTGAATGCAACACTGTTTGCAACAAATGATGCTGTTTTGACTTTGAATCACTTTTTTTTCCTCCCTGTAGCCAAGCTAAAAAAAAATGTTGAAACTAAAAAATTGGTAAGACCAGATACATTTTTCTTGGACCATAATATAATATTTAAAAGGAATTTAAAATCCATGCATAGCATGATTGCTGATGTATATGGCGCAAATAAAGAATATTTTATTCATCTTGTATTACATGTGAGATTAATCAAAGTTCTCTAAATTCTTGGAAACTGAAAAGAAACCATAACTGTATGTCGCTATATTTGTTAGGAATTAGGAGAAGCCCCGTTAGTCAAAGGAGGAGCCTTGTTGACTTAATGGTTATGATCTGGGCTACAAGCCAGAAGGCCAGTACTTCGAATCCTCCAGCAGCTCCTCAGAAGAGAGGTGAGGCTTGCTACTTCCATAAAGACTTAGCGTCTCAGAAGCCCCCAGGGCAGTTCTCCCCTGCCCTACACAGTCGCTGCTGGTCAAAATCCACCCAATGGCAGTGAGTTTGGGTATTTTGAGTTTTGTGCTTTAAAAAGGGAGGTGATACAAATGGTTAATGTGTTCAGCTGCTAGCTAAAAGGTTGAAAGTTGAAGCCCACCCATGAGCTACTTCTAAAAAATCAGCCCCTGAGACATCTATGGAGCTCAGGTCTACTCAGACACAATAATATCACTGGGACTCTGAGTCTACTCAGTGGCAACTAGTGATGTAAGGTTTCTTGAACGTTACATTTTAGAGCCCTTTACTAAACAAGCAAACCATTGCCATCAAGTCAGGGTTTCTGAAGCTATAAATCTTTTCAGAAGCTGATAGCTTGAACTACTGACCGTCAGCTAGCAGACCAATATATATCATTTATGAATACACTTATTATTTCTTAAGCTTTCTGGGCATAGCTGCTGTGTTAGGCAGGGTTCTCTAGAGAGAGAAAAAATAAGACACTTATAATTTTATATAAATATATATATTTTATACAGCAAGAAGGAATATTAGTTCTGTGTGGTCTACTTAGTCCACACAGCAGTACAGAGAACTCAGTTCAACTCACTTTTGTGGGACAGTTAATATACTGAAGGTCTTTTAAATTGCACTGGCTGCCAGTCCAAGGTCAAGAAAGCAGACAGCAGAGTCTTCCCTCAGGCAAGACAGGCAGAGTCTGCCTGCAGGCAGCAGACAGCAGGATGGGTCAGCAACAGTCAGTAGCTCAGGAGTTTAGCAAAGCAGGCCCTGATGAGATCTCAAACTCAAGCGATGTATGCACTACATGATCCACCAGCCACAAAGTCAAGCAATGGATGAGCAGCAGTGTAACGAAGCAGATCTTGAAGGAGCCTCAAGCTCTAGTGGTTGGCTCAGCCACAAGTAGTGCAGCACACAGTTGAGGTAAAGAACTAGCTCAAGCAGCGGCACATTAGTCCAATCACCAGGGAGGAAGAGAGGAAGTTCCCAAAATCCTCATGAGAAGGCCACGCCCACAAAGAGGCATCACGCTGTGGCCTGATTGACAGGTTAGACTCCACCCCTTCACTCGTAATATACTCAAAATGACACAAGATTATGTAACTAACACAGTTGCTAATTATCAAAAATCAGGTCAGCGATATTCTTCTGTTCATGGCCCAGTGATTTTGCATGTGATTTGATTGCCCGTATGTAAGTGTGCAGGTGCTAAGAGACTGAGCCCTGGGACAAAGGCAAGGGCAGTATGGATGAGTCTGGAAGAGTCTCATCTTGTTTGCACACTTGTGGGGAAACTGATTAGCTGAGGGCTAGTGGAGATCAGTCTGGGCGTCTGTCCTTGAGAAGTCCAATTAGGTAAATAAAAAAAAGAAAAATCTTGTTGTCTGAATATGGTGTAGGGCATGAGGGTAGGTAAAAGCTGGGAGGCCCTGGCTGGTGCAAACAGTCAGGTAATGCATTTAAAGGCTAACAAACAACTTAGAAGTTGGAGCTCACCCAAAAAAGGCTTGTTGATCCCTTTTTTGTCCCTGAACCACCACCCCCACCACCCCCCACACACGTAGAGCACTGGGTCATGAGCACATAGATGTACATGCGGCACCGTGTGCAGGAGTTGATAGGATGGCAAACAGTTTTAATAACAGGGAGGGAAAGGGGATGCTCTCAGAGCCCTATGGTGTTCTAATTGGTTTGGTGGGTGGTCCCACAGTGTACTCACCTTATGAAAGTGTTTGTTGCAAGCTTATGATTCTATTTGGGGGCTTCAAAAAGTTCATGTGAAAAGCCCATTATCCTTGAATTCAATCTTTCACAAACATTCTGAAGCCCCTTCATAGCTGATTGATTACTTGTCTGTATATGTTATGCAGGAATATATTGGGGGCTTGCTCACATTAAAGGAAACTGCCTTGGAAGTTCCTGGTGGGAGAATGGTTAAGAAGCACCCAAAAAGATGCCAGGAGATAGGGTTTTGAAAATGAAAACAAGGCCCCCCAGCACTGGGGTGAGGTCAGAACACCTGCCGCTTTGTCCCCCAGCTCCGCCTTCAGCTCCTGTGAGGAATGTGCTGAAGCAGGTGTCGGAGCAGGGAGAGAACAAATCCAACCACAGCCACCTCTTCCCGCCTCCCCTTCCCACCACCTCCCACCCTCACCCCTCCCCCCAGGCTGCAAGTCTTAAACTTCAAGCCTTCTCTCCTGACTGAGCAGTGCTTTCAGAGTTTTATAAAAGAGAAGCTTTGATCTTTAATACTTTAATAAAGTTTGACAGTTTGATGATTACCCTGGACTGGGTGTTCTAATTACTGTACTGAGGTGGTTCTTATGATGGAAAGCACTCGGTGCACTTCTGTTATTTGAAAGTGAACGTGAAAACCCTCTACTCACCCCCAAATTGGATTTCATCCAAGACCCAGAAATAATTCACAGAGCAAATTGTAAAGATCGCTTTCTGCTTGCACCACTTCTCAGTTGTTGTAACATAAAAACTACTCTGCCCACGGATGGCAGAAGATGACACCTTTTGTTACACATTCCTCACTGCTGTATAAGTCAAGGGGCCCTGGTGGTGCTGTGGGCCAAGCATTAGGCTGCCAACCAAAAGGTAGGCAGTTCAAACTTAAGCAGCTGCTCTGAGGGATAAAGATGAAGCAGTCTGCTCCAATCAAGATTTAAGATCTTGGAAACCCTATGGAGCGGTTCTACTCTGCCCTACACTGGGTCACTGTGGGCCAGAATTGACTTGGTGGGGGTAGGTATGGTTTGGATTAGTATATAGCAGGGTTCTCAACCTATGGGTAGAAACCCCTTTGGGGGTCAAACGACCCTTTCAAGGGGGTCACCCGATTCATCACAGTAGCAAAATGACAATTATGAAGTAGCAACGAAAATAATGTTATGGTTGGGGCGGTCACCACCACATAAGGAACTGTATGAAATGATCGCCGCATGAGGAAGGTTAAGAACCGCTAGTATATAGGTTGGTTAGACAATTCTACTGAGTTCATCCCAGCTGGGCTCACTCAGCCATTGCAATCCCGTGGCAGGTTTGTTGGGGACTGGCCAGTCTAGGATGGTCTTGGCTGGTATGACTCAGCTCTCTGTCATGTGGCTGTCACAGCCTTCCAATAGGCCAGCCTGTCCATGTTCTCACAGCAAGGTGGGGAGGGGAGGGGTCTGAGAGAGGGAGTGAATACACAGGAGCACTTTTTTCATGTCTCTGCTTATACATGGGAGTTCCTGTTCTCATGGCCCCACCACGAGACATGATCC